TGGGGGGAGAGGGGGTAGGCAGGGGAGGGAGGGAGGGAATACATTTTAAATTAACGGATGAGGCACATTACTATAGATAGTAAGTTTTAGGAAGATTTTGATAGGAAGGAATGCATTAAAAAATGAGAGACATTATTATCATAGTGATAGTTAATTCTAAGGACCGTGGAAGTCACTAAGGACTGAGCAGGAACTTTCCAATTCTTCCGATAGAATATCAATATTTTTTTAAAAAAATTAAGAGAATAAAGTGGTTTTGACAGTGTGACAGTATTACCTTCCTGACTGCCCTGAAGTAGAGATGTTCATAATAACTTCCAGCCTTTCAATTCCTTCACTTCCATGCTCTGAAAGCTTTAATTATTTCCTACTTCTTACCCTAGTCATCAGTGGAGGGAAATGTGAGAGTTTATTCCGTTACAATCTTGGCTGCTATGTTCACAGAGACAGCCAATGTATTGACCTACCACTCCACTCTACTAAACCTTCTCCAGATCTCTTTTGCTTATAGGCTGTAGTTTGTGCATTCATTCTTTTCCATCTCACATAAATATTGGAATGGTGATTCAGTCCATTTCTGCAACTCAGATATCTGAATTAGCAATGTTTGTAGGAAATGCTGCTAACCAAGACACTGCAATTGGAAACCCATATCATTACTTCTCAGAGCAAGTAATACATACAGCAAGTAATACATACACCAAGCCAGGAACTCAGCATCTATCTTAAGGGGTAGAAGAGTCAGCGTAGCTGTACATGGGGCAAGAAACAAACTTTCATCCTTGTGAGTTAATAAATAAATTGGTAACACAGTCAAAGCCTCACTGGTGTGCTTAGGTCTCCTGACCACAGCCTGTAAACACTGGTGAAGATATGGTAGCCAAGACCTTGAAGGATATTTATGAACAACAGTATTTCACTCTTGGATTCCAAAAAATATGGAGAAAAAAAATACTTACTTTCATAGTGGATTTTGAATCCATTATTAGATCGACTGTTATCTGTTGTAAACAGGAGATAAATGAAATTGCTGCTACTGAACAAAAATTGAGGGACTTGTGTACCATTGTAAGAGCCAAGGAGTGGTGACAGAAGATTTGGTCCATCATGTACTTCAAGAACATCGTAATTGAGTTCTGTCTGGAATCTAAGTTGGAGAAACACACGAAGAGACATAAAATATAATCAAAGACTGCATGCCCAGAAAATTGTTACATATGCTATTTCAATACAATTATTCTTGTTTTCTCTGTCATTCAAAATCCTACTCCAATTAAATTTTCCAAATAATAATGATGAGCAGAGTTTGTTCCTTTATTTTGTCACTATTCTAAAACCATGGCAGATATTACTATAGAATGTCTCAGATGTCCATGTGTTTCTGAACATCTTTGAATGCATACATTTAACCACTCGACAGTGCTATTTCTCAAATTCACTTCTATGATGATAGTGTTCAGTTGCTATATTTACACCCCTTTATGCAGCATTTCAGTTTGATTCACTTCAATTTGTATTTTATTCGTATTTTTATTGAATGTGACCTTGAAAGAATTTAGCTAAAGTGTGAGGATTGTTACTATGGTTGATTGCACAGTCAGCCAGTTGTTTAGACTGGACTTGGCATTTTTATCCACCTATCGAGTTCTTCCCAAGGACCTAGGATAGGCAGATGTTGCTGTTTGATGGTGTTAAAGGTATTGTTGCAAGATGTAAGCTGTTCCTAGTATAAAGCTGCCTTTTGCAATTGACTGATGGTGATTTTTGT